AATAATATATAGATATATAATATGTAATATATATAATATATAAATATAATATGTATAATATATATAGTATATATAATATATAATATATAGTAGATATAATATATAATATATAGTATATAGATATAATGTCCAATAGCGGCTTTGCACGCCTGGAAAGAAAGAAAAAAAAATGCAGAAATGTAAAGTGCAATAATTTAATGTCCAAACCCTGTGACGGCTTTGCCGGTCAGCGGGAAAAATAAAGAAGAAAAAAAAAACAATGTCCAATCTCCGGTGGCGGAAAATCCGACCTATGGGATAGTTCAAAATGTCCAGGTATGTCCAATATGTCCAAGTCAATATGTCCAAGTTCAATAAGTGTCCAAGAGTAAAGGAACTTAAAGATTTTTTTTTTCAGCTTTTTTTTTCAGTTGTGTTTTTTTTTTGGTTGAGGTTTTTTTTTCAGTTTTTTTTTAAGTTTTGTTTTTCTTTTGTTTTTTTTTGTTTTTTTTTTGTTTTTTAGTACCTGCAAGAAGAGGTTAGGGAAAACAAAATAATAATAAATATTTACAACAAATAAACAATAAAACTTATGTTTAAAATAAAAAAAACTCAAACCGTCTCCCCGGAAACGGCGGCAAGTTGATTTGCAGTATAAAACGGGCAAAAATAAAAACTAAAAAGAATCCCTTGTAAGTAGGGTGTCGAACCTCAGGGAGACGCGAGTTAATTTAATTTAAACAAAAGTTTACAAAAGAAGTTGTAAAATATTTTGGTCTTTTTGGTTTTAGAGATAAAATAAAAAGTGTAAAGAAGAGAGTTCCAAACAACACAAAGTTTTTGATGTTGAAAAGTTAGGGGTAGAAATTGGTAAATTAATTGTCCAATGTTTTTATAAAAGTTGGATTGTCAATTTATTTTTATATAGAATGTGTGGAGTTGCGGAAAAGTATTCAGGGACGCTCTCGCAGTTCACCTAAATAATAACTACTCCGACTTTAACACGCTAATGATAAATCCGGAGTAATTATTTAGTAGCAACGGCAACCATAATTATTTTATTGTATGTTTACCCAATTTAATGGTGTAAGAATACAACTCAATAATTATTTCCACCCGTAAGTCTTCAATCCCGGTTAAAGGTAGAGAAGGCTTACGGTGTATTTAAAAAGTGTTCTATTTTATGATTATATCAATTTTAGCTCATATTCCTTGTAACAATTATGTTTATGATTGGTCCCTTAATTAAAACTCACAAACATTTCAAATTTATTTATTTTTAAATACAACATCTAAGTAAAAATAAAATCAACAATCCATGTTTAAAATATTCAAAACATTAAGATGGACAATTAATTACACCAAC